AAGTTACAAGAGTGTGACTACTACCCAATTTACAGCATTTATAAAATATTAAAAGTTAGATTGTCATAGTAGTTTGGATAGAACTATAAAATGTTCTTAGATAAAAATATACTTTGTGTATCACTCGGATGTAGATCCTCAAATCATCTCTGAATGGGTGCCGACACTGTCCTTCCTTCTGGAGGGTGGCTATGTGTGTTCCCTATGGTCCCTGTGTGTGTTGTAAAGTAGCCACCACTCCAAGCTCACTCCCGTAATGGACTACAGTCACAGTACAAATTAGTAAACTAAAACCCAAGATTGTAGTCATCACAGGAGCAAGCTTGGAGTGGTGGCTACTATACAACACACATTGGGACCATGGGGAACACACATAGCCACCCTCCAGAAGGAAGGTCAGTGTCAGCACCCATTCAGAGATGAGTTGAGAAGCTACAGCCGAGTGATACACAAATAAGATACATTTTTTGTTAAGCTACTTGAATGCATTTTTAAGATTTAACGCCCGAGTATAGTGTAACTTTAAATGTACATGTTTTACTCCAGTGTAAGAGCCTGATTTTGACCCAATAACAATGTCTCCTATTCCTTTTACTGTAGAGTTCAGGCAAGGAGTTGGAGGGGCAGCACATGGAGCCCATCAGTTGATCTGTACTACTCACATGCTAACAAGGGACATGCTAAGAGATCAAAATGAAAGATGACCTCATCAGCGTCCTGCTCCTCCATTTACTGTCCAGTCACAGACCGGGGGAGTGACAAGACCTGTATTACCTCAACTGCAGCAGAGTGAAATTGGGTCTCCTGCCCTGCCAGACAGGGTTGTGCAGTGTGTCAGCTGTGCAAATCTCAGGACCAGACAGACAAATAAAAACCTTTACTAGGTGAACAGCTTCCACATATGAATTACCATGTTTCCCCGAAAGTAAGACCTACCCCGAAAATAAGACCTAGCGCTATCCTCAGGGATTTCTGTAATGTAAGACCTACCCCGAAAATAAGACCTAGTTCGGTGGTAGGTCTTATATTACAGAGATCCACTAGGTCTTACTTTCGGGGTAACAAAAAGGCAGCTGCTCTGATCAGTCTTAAACTAGCAAAAAGGGAAATGTGCACATGGGCAGAGCATGCAGCATACCATATTAAAGTACATTCTGCTCCTGTCCACCTCATTGAATTATTTACAAGAAAGAAACAATTTGGTCAGACGACAGCAATTACCCTGTTGAATGAGTAGCACCAACAAGATGTAATCATACACAACTAAAACCTCAACATCTATCTTCAACTATTTCCCTTGAACAGGATTTTTGGAAGTTTATACCCAAGTAACATTTAAATGACCATACTTTGCAAAACCAGTTTTAAGAGTACATACCAAAGTAAAATAGATATGACTTAAAAGATTTGTCCTAAGAGTCGATTTACTTACCACAACAAATATATAAAACAGAGTAACAGAACAGGAGGGGAACAGACATTTTTATTTCCACCACATACAAACACTTCCATTAGTACCTTGGGAATGATGAGAAGAGCATCTGCGAAAGCTTGGACACCGAGCTGGGCTCGTCCTTTCACATTAGGCTTGTGCTTGACAAGAGCATTGGCAATAGCAACTTCTAATGCACCCGCACCAGGCACAACACATCCTGTGCACACAAAGACAGTAAGACTTGAGGTGCATGCAACACTGGGTATAATGTGTAAAAAGTGAAATGACTGCCAACTTTATTATAATACATTTCACTAAATGTTTACAGAGATGGAACTGAATTTTATTAAACGGCTACTCGCTGAACAATAAACAGATAAAAGCATGCTTGTTTGTGTAAGAAAGAAAATTTCACATATATTGTTAATATAAAAAACGAGGGGAATTTACTAAAAACTGGAGCAGACAGAATCTGGAGGAATTGACTATGGCAACTAAACAGCTTATCTCTCATTTTCAATGCTTAACTGAACACATTGAAGAGAGAAGGTGATTGGTTGCCATGGGTAACTGCTCCAGTTTTCCTGTCTTGTACATTTGGCCTAATTAACATCCATGTGCCTCTTAGTTCTCCAGCTCAACAGAACATTGGATCTGGAAATATTTACATCCCCTAAAATACCATTGCTGTCCACACCACTCCCAATTTATGGGAACAAAATTGGCATGCCCCCATTCCTGAGACACCAGAGTCATCCCCGAAAACATCAGTACCTCACATCGCCAACTTAGCAGTGCCCCTACAAGAATGAACACTTATGACAGCTGACTGTACCTGGAAATATCATGACTTGCTCAGCAGTGCATGATCCTGGATCAGTAGTGTACTTTTCTTTGAAGTATAATTTCCTTCCATTCCAGTGCCACTGCAAACACCACTGCTGCATCCCAAGCTCATTATGGATATCTCCCTGGCAATATCTGGGTCAGCTATATAATGTTCCTGGGAATAGCCACCTACTCCATTCCCGATTTAGCAGGGCCCCAAAAATACCAGCCTCCTTACATATAAGCAAAGCAGCAAGGTTTTTCTTAAAGTGTCACTCTCCCCACCCCTGGCTCAGCATTCAGTAGCCCCTGGAAACCTCATCTTGTGATAAGAGGATTGTGTTGCGATGGGAAATGTGACGAGAGGATATATATGTACAAAATGTCTGTATTCTGAACTGTTTACAGTCATGTGTTAAGTACCCTACAGTTACACGACCATGGATCCAACCATTAATATAGAGGATCTGTGTAAAACATGCTCCAACCCCCATTGCTGCTGCACGTTTCAGACCACAGAGCAGCATGCTCCATCCACTCAGAAAGTAATGGCGCAGACAGTATGCTTAACACAGACAGCAATGCATTAGCACCATGTCAAATGTTGGAGCTATACAGGATACATGACCGGTGGGCAATGTGTGGACACTAGCAAGACTGTGGACTATACAATATTCCATGACTAGAATCTGCTTATGTTGTGGTAGATAGGCAAGTGGCAAGATGTTTTGTGAACATTGTAAGCTGTACATGCTATCAGAGTAGTAACCTTTACTAGGTGACAACCCTCTAGTGACCATAAGTGATGTTATCTGAAGCTGGCCACATAACAGATGAGAAAAACAACTACTAAATAAACTTCAATGCAAGGACCAAAACTAAATGTAAAGAATTAGCCAGACATGCCATTATACTACCTATTGATTAACGGTTTCTCAGGGTCTTATTAATTAAAATGGTGCACAGGAAAAGCAGCAGCTTTGTGCCCGCGTAATGCAGACTAGTTCCATCTAAGTCTGCAATAGTTTTTATAAAATAACCCGACAGGAATAGGTTCAATCTCATATTTAGGCTCAAGTTCCTGGACACAACTTACCATCTTCAATTGCATTTTTAACTGCCCGCAAGCCATCCCTAATGGCATCTTTTATCTGATTTAGAGTATGCTTATTTGGTCCCTTGACCAGCAGAGTGACAGAGCGTGGATGATCACACTGCTCTATAAAAGTAAACTTCTCCTCACCCTAAAATGAGAAATGCAGTACATTTAAAAAAAAAAAAAAAAAAAAAAAAAAAACATTAGTGATGATGTGAAGAGTTTATGATGGGTAACCTTCTAAAACATACCATTGTATACTCATAGACAAGACCAGCATGTCCCAAACACTCAGGAGTGATGTCTTCCACCGAATTCATTGCACTGCCACCACAAGCCAAAGTTAATCTAGACAAAAGGTTTAAGGTTAATACATCATGTAATATACAGAGACTATGAGATCTAATAAAAAAAATGGAAAAAAAAAAAACCTTCAATTTACCTCTCCATGTTCCTCCTCTTCGCTCTGCGGAGGGCTACAATCCCTTCCTTGGCAAGGGCATCCAAGGAAAATGGGTCTATTCCCTGAAAGGAAAAAAACAAATATGGTAATTTCTGCCTCGCCGCCACTTATCTTTACATCTACAATGATACCAAATGAAATTAGTAAATTTAGAATATTTTTCAAATTAAAAACAGTAGTTAGCAGGGGATAATTGTAACTATTACTGCAGTGTACTGGACGTATGTGCTGTATATGTATTATGGATCATGATTTAACCTGTTCATGTTAGCAGGGCAGAATTGTGAGCGCCTCCCACAAGCTGAGCACCGAGATGCGATGCAGCGATCCTGCTCAAGCGCCGACTACAAGAGGCACCGCGTGAGGCAACAGGGATTGGAGTGAAACTAAGTGAGGGAAGCTGGGACGGGGCTGGCTGTAAATCTATTGCTATAGTGTACTGGACGTGTGTAATGTATATGTTGTACATATATACAGCATACACCTCCACTACACTCCAGCAATAGATTTACAATTCTCCCCTAACATGAATAGGTTAAATCATGATCCATAGTACAGAACATGTAGATGTACTATGGATCATTTAAAGTCACCTGTCCCTTTAAGAAAGTATCGGTAATTGGTATCGGCAAGTACATGAGGGGATGTACTTGGGCCTGAAAAAGTGGCATCGGGACATCCCTACTTTAAATATCTGTAAACTAAAATCTGCTATGTTAGTGGCATACAAAGGACATGCAGCATCAGTTTCATGGATTATGCTGCATTTAAAGAGAATTTCCACTTTAGCAGTCAAATTGGGATAACACCTATTTTTATTTGTTACATGTTCCCATTCACATAGCATAAAGCCAAGAAAGAAAGAAAAAAAGCTTCTAGTAGTTTTAATTACTTTTACTTAGTTTACGTTTTTGTGGTTTCTTAAGTGTTAAAATTTCTACTTGGCTACTCCTTTGTAATGTTAGGGAGGGTTGTGAGGAGTTTGCATCATATGTTATTGAAGTTAATTTTAGTCCTAAATCTTTCTATGAGGACAGATCCCTGGAAGAGATGTTGCAGCAGGTATTCCAGCTGATTCCAGATTTGTTTTGGTATTATGCTGTGTGAACGGGAACACAACATATAGCGGGGTTTTCTCAAGTTTGACTGCAGAAGTAGGAATATACTTGGAGACATTACATCTGTAACTATGTACTGTTCTTATGAATACGTGCAGGCGAATGGGTATTTTCACCAGACGCAGAGGAAAAGGACAGTCTTCAATCTTGCACAGATTTGCAGGCCAAGGGTGTTATATATCACTCTTGGGTGTTCTCTGTGCTTTACCTAAATTACATACACCGTTAGCTCACCTTCTGGTTAAGGACAATGAAGCCTTTGCCAGTATCACCGCACACCTTCCGTTTCAAAGCGATGATTTTATTTACCCTTTCCTCAATAAACTTCCTTTCCGCTTTAACAAGTTTCTCGCGCTCCTCTGCGCTTTTGTAGAAGAATCCAGAGTTTACTTCCCTGAAACAACCAAATAAGATAGACACTTTATGCCAGGACTGCCCCATCTTTTCATGAGCTTTTGTTCAAGCACATTTCCAAGTATTGCACCTATTGTACATCCTCAGTTGGCAAGTACATAAAGCATGTAATGCAAGTATTCAGCCAAACATAGCCAATGCGTTCAACTCCATTGAGTAGACCCTTGAGAGATTTGGTTTTGTTCCATGCTTCCTGAAATGGATACACATCTCCTAGATTTAATATACCGGTGAAAGAACTATTATCCACCTAATTTCTATTGAACAAGACAGGGATGTCTACCGTCTACTCCCTCTTAGCATGGCTATAGAAGCCCTTACCCTTAAGGGTAAAACTGAATTACCCCCACCACTGCTCTTATCTGTGAACACACGCTCCTTCCTAAGAAGCGCTTCTCATTGATCAGCACGGTCAAAAGGGCTTTGCATTGGTGGTCATGTGGTCTCTCCATTTGCGAAAGTAACTTTAAATACATAGCGCAGGGCTATGCTGCTGTGTACAGGTCGTTAACCGGTAAAAGAATGTTGCAGAAATATGCTGCAGATATGTTGGGCATGCCCTATGTTAAGCAGATTTTAGACCAATTTGTTCACATTTTGCAATCCTTTTTTGTGTTCCCTTAAGTTTACACTCCTAAATCTTAAACCTTCCCAATTCACAGTTCAAGTTGACCACATATCTTGTTAGCAGCAAAGCAAACCATTGCTAAAGCCTAGAAGAAACAATTTATACAATTTGCGGAAGCTTGACACCAAATTATTTTATAAAAGAGAAACTTTCCAGTATTCTTTTGGATAACCAAAGAATACAATATACCCATCTCTCACTCTCTTCTGAAAGCTTCATCACCTTATAGCCTACAATTTTCCCCAATCGTATGGAGCCTTCCGGTTTCTATTACTTGTTTTGCTTTATCTTCTTTCTCTCAATTTCTCACTGGCCTCCTCGACTTCCTTTCTTCTTTTGATCATTCATCCGACAGTGACATATTCTGGTTCTTTCTACCTTGATTTAGGTATTTAATGATGTTTTTGTTGACCCTTGTTACTTCACATATTCAGCTCCCTTGTAAAGGAATGCTACAGTTATCCGGTAAATCTATGAGGACAATTTTTTATCTTCTATTGTTTATTTTCGATACAAGTTGATTGTTGTATTTTGCTTTTTATTGTAAACATTAATAAAAAATGTATTGAACTGGAAATTGCAATTTCTCCCTTTACTAAATAGTAAGAGGAATTTTAAAAGACATCTGTGTACACAAGAGTTTTACCCATAGGAGGCAAAATCAATAACTTACGTTTTTTCATACTCTAGAGACAAATTGCATGTAAGAATGTATGCATCTTCGACTCTCTTTTTCATGTCTGGATGGCGAGCCCCATGATCAAGCACCAAACCTCTTATAAGCCTAAGAATTAAAAAGGAGAAAAGAGAATTATAATCTAAGACAGAAATAAAACAAGGAATGTTTAATAACCATACACTAAAATGATGGAAACTGTACTCAAGTGTGCAGACATACTGCTTAACAGAATGCCATAGAAAAAGCACAGTTGAAGTTTACTCTAGCATGGTGTCTGACTGCAAAAATCACCAGACGATAATGCAGAATTCATCCATGCAGGAAGCTGTATTCAGACTTAACTTCACATAAGGAATCTTATAATACAAAAGTCAACAAGTGTGGTTCCTACCAAAATATAAAACACTTGTAAACATAAGTACATCTGCACATGAAAAAAATGTTGTGAACTAAAAGAAAATTTGTACATGTGGCAGAGCATACCTCTAGAAGCACATCAACATACGTTCCTATGCAATTAAAGATTTTCTGCATGGGCATGCCACCTACAACAGGGCAGCAGTTGGGCCTCGCTATATTTTACTTGGATAGACTGCTGCATTGGGGACAAAATCTACCTACACACAAGAAGTGCTTTAAAAGGAGGTCCACAGTAAAGCTGCAGGTATGCTTTTGCACCTAATATTGCTTTTTACAAATCTATTGTGCAGGATGGCTTACTTTAAGTAGACATAAGCTGCAGCTGAACACACTTTTCATTCTTTTTTCCCCCAAAAAAGAAAACGTAGAACACTGCACATAGCTATAATATAAAAAGACATTTACCAAATCCTGACAGCTACTTGGTCAAGAAATTACCCAAAGATTATTTCATGCAGAACTCACCACTAGTGCTGCACACTAAAAGCCGTACTTACGTTGTGTCACTTTCAGTTTTATGCTTCATCTCCATAATTTCAACCATAAACAAATCAATTGGCTCATTTTCCTGCCTTATAGCCAGAACAGAATCCACAACCGCCTGCAAGAAAGGCAAGAGATGATTAAAACCATTCTAAAAGGAAGCCACACAAGGAAAAATGATAAAAGCAGCAAATTGGATTCCTGAACTGCATTCCAGGGCACTCCGATCACAGTAAACGTAAACTGTAGAATGTAATCTACCATCAAAAGGTCTCAGACACATTTCTGTGTAACGATTACCTTTATGTTCTTCTGTGCTGTAGTGTGCAGCCAATTATTTTAGGTCACAATATGAAAAATATACCAGCCCAGTTTAAGGCACACAGACACACATTTATATTGTCACCAATATTCATTATTTTTATGTTAAACATTTGGCTACAAGTATGCGGTGGCTAGCACAAACAAGGCTCAGAAAAAGACAGATATCGATGACAAGCATCATCTTAATTGCCACACACAGTGACAAGGCAAACATTTTATAAATAAATTATAAAAATGTATTATAAAAAGGCACTTAAAAATGTTTACCGTCAGCCCTAACTCTTAAACACAGCCATAGTGAGGGTGCCGACAGTGCTGTCTTCTATGCATGGTAAGAATACCAGAGACTGACAAAACCTAACAGAGTTTAGAGATGAACTTTATTTTTCTCTCCCTAGCTTGTCTGCTGCGTTGTCCTCAAACATACTCCAACGCCCAGTGAAACCAGTGTTGTCTGGTATAAGCTGCTTCTGCACACCATTTCCTTCAATTGAAAGTCAGCTACCTCTCCGTGCAGCTGGCCCCCTAATGCAGCAGTGTTGCACATGCATTTTAGATGACCCTCTTGTAATGTGCAATGTCAGTATTCCTGGAGGCTGCAGGCAGCACAGCCACATCATTCTTGCCCCGGCAAAAATAAAAAACAAGGTGTGTGTGTGTAAACAAAGGAATTTGCATGTGAAAAAAATATATATCTTGTAAAGAGATGAATGCACCCCTTCAAGCACTGGAGGTAGGTGTGGGAGAAACAAATGGGAGTTGCTGTAACTCTGATGCAGTAGCAATATGAACACTGGAGGCTTCCAGGATGAAGGCAAACACAGGTAAGATTATGGTTGGTAAGGCAACCAACCCTTTTCCTCCTTCATACGCCTAAACTAATGTGTGATGCACAAAATTGCAACGACCTCCATTTATTAGGCCGTGGCAATGAAGCAAGCATTCAATGCAAAGCTAGAATCCGAGGGGGGGAAAAAAAAAATGGAGTAGGAATGATCAACAGCTAAAATTTAATACAATGACTTCACTGCTCATACGACCCTATACACACACTTCCATCCAAAAATGGTACAGAACCTTACCACAAAAAAAATTAGAGAATTTTGCAATCATTTTTTTTTTTTTTTTTTTAGTACAAAGTAGTCATATTTACCTCTGTTAAAATATCAGCCAACTCAGCATGAACTTTGGTGCGAAGCGATGTTCGGGCAACATTGATAAGGGTCTCTCTATCCATCTCTTTGGACACCTTGACCTCATCCAAAACTTTAAGGGCTTTAATTTTTGCAGCTTCAAAACCTTCTGTCACAATTCTTGGGTGAAGGCCCTAAAAGGCAAGAATATTCTTTAGGCTATAAGCTTTTACAAGAGTCTCTATGTTGTTAAGCCACAAGTTAAACACCTTACTCAGGATTGACGATGCATGTAGTAGCTGTACTATACAAAAAAAAAAAGTATAATAAATCCCACTAAATAATGGAAATTGTACTCAAGTGTGCAGACATGCTGCTTAACAGAATGCCATAGAAAAAGCACAGTTGAAGTTTACTCTAGCATGGTGTCTGACTGCAAAAATCACCAGACGATAATGCAGAATTCATCCATGCAGGAAGCTGTATTCAGACCTAACTTTCTACACATTATATGTAGAGTAATCTTCTAAGACAAAAAAACTTAAGGATTTCCTGCTATTAGCAAAAACCCACCAAGCCCTCAAATATGCAGGTAAGATCTGAATTATTAGCTACAGATGATTAGGGTCAAAGAAAGAAAACGCAGAGGACAATACATTGTACCTGTAAAAATCCCTCTCAGCCATACACCCAGTAATTGCCCAACGGAAGCTTGGCTATTACAATAAATATTTCCCATCATATCAATACCACACTTTGATGTAACAATACCTCAGATATGTAAAGATCTGCTTGTTTTAGAAGCTCGCCGATAATCAGAACATTGGAGGTGGTTCCATCTCCAGTGATGTCATCTTGTGCCGTGGCTACTTTAGCGATCAAAGAGGCTGTCGGATGCTGAATTTGCTAAAAAGTAAAACAAGGAACTCAGATCAAGGTTTCCTGGATCCTCACTTATTAGTTAAGAAAGATTCTAAAGTTGACCATTGATGTGGAGTTACATCCTGAAAATGATGAGTGGGAAAACACCTTCCTGTTCTCAGTGAACACTGACAGATGTGCATGACTGATACTGAGCTTTCCTGTTTTGGGCATGCTTGGAGGGAATATTCCCAAAAAGCTGGAAAATCTCTCTGCATTATGAGCAGCTCCAACTGCAGAACTGTGGAAATGGCCTAAAAACCGCAAGATACTTGAAATCAAGATCAATGCTTGTATTTACTAATCTGCCTTAGCAGATAATACAGTTCGAGAGAGCAACTGTCTGCTCGAACATACAACACCCAGTAGGCTCTGCAAATTTAGGAAGAAGGTACAGGGGGGCAAAGATGGACAGGAATCCCACCATCAAGGAGGGTGAAGTACTATAGACGAGAATCCTGAGTGGAGCCTCCATCCTCCAGGTTCCATGTATTCTGTCTCCTCTGGAAAGAGAGGGCACAATATCTGACCAGACTGGCAGTAGAATTTCCTCTAAAGTGTTTTTGGTGATGTGTTTCCTCTTGGAGGAGGTGCTATCTCATGGACGGTCCAGGTAAGCCCACTGGCTATAGGCCAGTGGGCTTCCTTGTGGAAGCAAAATCAAGTGGTACAAGTCACCAACCATTTTATTTCGCCTAAATGCTTTTTCTTTTCTTGAAGGTTTGGTCTGTTTATGCTACGTGGAATGTCACATAACTTGTTCACAGCACACTATTTGTTATATTACAGCAACAAACTTACCATTTCATGAAGTAAGACGTTTCCATCCTTGGTAAGCTTGATTTCCCCAGCACCAGATACTAACCTGTGAAAGAGATAACCAACATCAGCACTACTAAATCAAACTGCATAAATATGGTTTAACTTAACTGGCTAAAACAATCTCCATGTAGTTTTATGGAGGTTTACTAACCTGCAGCTCCCTTTCCAAGATGTGCAACCTCAAAACTATACATCAACCAACAACTTTCACTCACATACTAACATTCACTGAGCTCCATCATGCCTGAAACTAAATACCCTACCAATAAAATGTCTAGATGTTGCATGAAAGGCCTCCATGGAGTAGCTCTTATAGGTCTATTTGTATTCTAAAAGCTGGCCATACACCATACAATCCGATTGTAAAATTCTGTAGATTTATGAAAACGATTTGACGACAAACCTAAACAATTCTTTTAATTAGTATCAAATTAGACAGGGTCATGCAGTACATAGTTGATGGTAGATCCAAAGATTGGACAATCAGATTATATAGTGTATGATTACCCCAATGGCTGGAAGAGTAATTCTACGTCCCCACAAAATGTGAGAAATTCCCATTCAAATCTGCCCTCTCTGCCTGGAACCACCATGCACCAATGTATGCTCTGTACACCGCAATGCAATCCTGAACTGAGCATCTAGAAGAATGCTCGCAAATGCTGAGCACTCATTGGTCAGCATGGTACCCTGGCCATGCTGACCAATGAGAAGCACTTATTGGTTAGGCGATACTCTTGAGCAATGAGTGCTGGCCATCTGCAAGCGTTGCTCTAGATGCTCAGTGCAGGAGTGCAGTGTACACTGCGACATGGCAGGTCCAGGCAGAGGCATGGCCAGCAGGGTAAGGAGAGGGGGCAGATTTGAATGGGTAATTTATTTCTCTGTGAAGAAGTGGAATTACCATTTAAAAAAGGAGCACTCAATAAAAAGAGCCTTCAGACATACCACTAGGCCAGTTAGCCCCACTGGTGGATTGCCTTTTCAAAGAGAGGGAGGGGGATTTAACTATTTGTTTTGGCTGGAAGTCGCCAAGGAGGAAACGGGGTGTACTATACAGTTATCCAATTTCTTCCATTTATAGAGCACGTTAAAATTAAAATGTTTGCCTTGGACAAAAAAAAAAAAAAA